CAACAATGTCACTACCATTTGTTCGCTACATCCCCTAAGAAAAAGGCTTAAAGTGACACAAAGGCAGATATAGATTCTTACCAATGATAAATATCGATGTGACAATGGTATACCAACTTCTAAACCTGACCTTACGTTGGGGAAACATTCTAACGTGGAAAATATGTACCATTGGCGTATCAGACTCCATCACAACACGCTTCATTTGTCCAATTAGCGCACAACAACCAGTAGAATGAACAAATCTACTTTCTGCTATCAAAATCTGTTAACTTTATTGTGAATCAACCTTATTGTACATCCTATGGCAAGGACATAAAAGTAGCTGTGTATGTAGTGTTTGATCTGATCTGATTCCTATCCTTCTCCCTTGTCACCAAATAAACTAGTAACAACATTAGAGGACGTTTTCAACACTTGCAGATCGATGCTCAAAAACATGGGTTTTCATTCCACATCTCCACATAGAATGGACTTCGTTATAAGTGTAGGTTGTTCCGCCGTTATTTGAAATTTGTTTTCAAACTAGATTTTTAAAAAAATTAGAACAAAGTGTTCAAATTCTCTTCACAATAGCAGTACCATTTGAATAAAACTAAAGGCACTATCGTGCTTTCTTTAACAGATTCTGTCTCTCTGGTCGCCTTCATGCTAAAGATACCACCCTTCAAAAACAACGAAAAAAAAACAACATTTTGCAGCCTTAAGGAATTAGAACTTCAAATTACAGAATAGAAAAACTTGCTTTTTCCTAGAGAAAAACTGTACATTCCATGGATCTTAACTCAACAGTAGAGTCTATTATGAGCTAAAAAAGTTATTCAAAATCAGAAACCACAAACATGCAACAGCATACATAAGTACAAGTCAACTTGTGTGAAAAGTGATATATGTCCCAAAGGGCAGAATTCAATTAAAAGAACTGGCACGTTTTTGAGATAAGACCAGGTATCAAAACCGTGTATTTTTATGGAGAAATGCTTGCCTGATCGTCTACACTAATTGATGAAAACTCTGGTAAAGCATGTAACCAATCGGCAAATAAGACAAAATGTCGTCGCCAGTCCTGCATTACGTCTTTCATCGATGCAACACGTTCAGCCGTAATTACAAGCTGTAAACAACGGAAATCAGCAAATATAAACAAAGTTAAGAGTGTTTTACACATGGCAACCATCAACACAGCTTCTTGCGTGATCGATAAAAAATGCCGTCCATATGCAAATCAACGATGAGGGTGGATGTAGCACAGGTAGAAAAATTCGTCTAAGCTTCCAATGTTCTGGTGCAAACCCTAGTTAAGCTACTCAACCCTTTCTATTTTTCCAAAGTATGGAAACTGGTACCGAACTTGTCTGTGAAAAGTTGACTGCGGTTCACAAAATTTAAAGCTATTTGCGGATAAGAACTGAGAGTAACCTAGACAGCAAACATTAGAACCTACAGAGAAAACAGTCGGCCAGCATCCGCAGACCTTTGCCATAATGAATGTTTCAATCGAAAAAGCTTGCTGAAATTCCTCAAGGACAATTGACCAAACACGAAAAGTTTGAAAATTTCAGAAAATGATGGATGTGAGCAAAGAAATAGAACGATAGAATTGCTAGCAATGAGTGCGTTTTTCAAATGCCAATAACATCCAAAGTGTTTAAGCCAAGAGGTTGAGTGAGACACCACTTATGTTCAGCCGAAAAGGATAAAAGCGTCTACGTAATACCATTACAGACAAGTATCAAGACAGAAAATTTCCATAATAGAATTCCAGAGATTCCTACAACGTGACACTATGATTCGTGTAGTTTTATATTTGCAAGCAGATTCTCATGAGCAGTCGGTAACAATTGCGCATTTTCGAACAACTGGCAACACAGAATTTTCGTTGAGCATTCAATTTACAAACAAAGTTAGTTAGCCTTCGGCAAAGATAAAAGGGCTTAGAAAACCTGTAGTGAAGGAAGATAAAGGATAAATGTTAACACGTTTGTCTGTGATCATTCCCTGAGGGATGCGCTATGTAGGCACCCCGTCAAGCATGGCACAGATAATTAAGTAAGATATTTGGATGGTACGCAAAATTGCGCCCTCGGCCCTGAGCTGCTTTGCAATCACTCTTTATTCAATATGAACTATCAAAGCTGTCAGCAACCAATCCTTGACGGGTTTGGTGTGGTGAGCACATTTCGGCATTGAACCCAGTTGAGCTGAAAGCTTTTTTTCGATGTGTATTACCTATACTTCTCTGAGCATGATGTTGAAATACTCATCTACTTTTACTATTGCTAAAACGTAGTGAAATCAAAGAAATTTAGGTTATACATAAGTAAAAAGTTGTCAGCTCAACTGGATTCAATGCGAATATATGCTTACTGCATCAAATTCGTTAAGGGCTGCTCGCTAACATCTTCAATAGTTCATGTCAAGAAAAAGACGGTAGCAAAACTGTGGCTTTGGTGGCGTAGTGGTAGCACGCGCCTCCGGTAACGGTGAAGCGCGCGCCGAACTCCCGCCTGAGCTGCTTTTTACGAGCCACTCAACCTTTTTAGCTAAATATTACAACATCATGTCACTGCTGGAAAACAGTACAATTAATGAGATATAGGTTGTAAAATATTTGGGCTATAACAAGGTCTATCAATGTGTCAGAATTCTTATCTTTCTGTGCAATTCTGGTATGCATTTTCGCACACCAGGGTGATGGAGAGTTTAGTTTGGTCTAGTGCGAGACAAACCAATGAAACAGTATATATTACAAGGCACCTCTAACCATTGCTTACAGAAGATTAATGCGAAATACTTGCTCAAAACTTTACGTGTGACTAAGTAATAAAATCGGTATTTGTTAGTCTTGCTGAGCTACTCTGGTAATTATTAATACTTAACCATTTACATACCGGTGTTCTGAGTGAAACATATTCGGACTATGCTGACGACAAGCCCGAATATCGATATCCATGGAGTTGGAAACTACATAGTTGAACTGCAATTTTCATTGCAGGAATTGTTTCCACAATTCGTAAAGTCTTTTTCTTCGCCAGAATTAGAATAAAACATTAGAAAATGCTCGTCAGGGGTTTGAATCTGAAGCGGGTCGAAAGTGAGTTATCCACTAGAATTTACTGACCATCACTGCGAGAATATCCTGAAACGTTAGGTGGATCCACACGGCTGCATACCTGCCGATGCACTGCCAACAGCGTGTTGGGGCGGATTGAAAAGCGAGGGGTTACCTCCTTCGATGTTCTAATTTTCTTGTATTTACCCCTTTATACGCTATGAAGCGTGAAGAAGATATGATGCTCACGATCCCTAGAGCAAGAGACCACTGGTGCACGCGATAGGAAAAATGGAAAGTGCTGGTACCGCTCGAGTCGCTCGACGATCAACGGGACGACAGGTGATACAGGTGATGCGCTATGCCATTGAGGGACACTTATTTTCCGAAGTGAGATTACCTCCATTCCAATAAGAGATCGGTTTGAGAGATGTGGAGTTGCCTTCTTCGCCTTTCTTTGTTTTCTTGCATTTTAGTCATTTACACAACAATACCGCGGTCGGACACTTTTGTTATGTGGGACGGACACCTCATGTCCGACGTAAGATGAATTCGATTCCCATACGGGACGGATTGACTCAAGTGGGGTTGCTTATTCCGATGTTTTTTTGGTTTCCTTGCACTTTAGCAGCTTACACCATTATGCCATGGGGAGACACCTCTTCTTCGAATCTATGAAATTGGTCTTGCTTAGTCATATTCTATTTCGACACATTGTCTTCCTTCAAACGAAAGATTACCCAGCTCAGTGTCGATCGCCCAGGATACGAAAATGTGTGAAGCAATAGAATGCTACGGAGAAGAGTTCATTGTATGCAGCTGCTTTCACACATTTCAAAAGATCATACTAGCTCAGGAAGACAATGTCATTGTACACTGTGCCATCACCACATACGCCTCCCTCCTTTCTACAGTGCAGGGCTTATAGAGGGGCGGGTGTCACTGACGAGGAAGCCAAAACTTCCAAAACATCGGTGTGTGGCCCTAGCGTGCCAACCTCGTTTAGGCTTTGAGCATTCTTTTTTTGGAATTATTTTGAACTGAGGATAACATGGGTACTCAATCAAGCGCCATGAATAAGTGTTCGCGACAGCACACTATGTGAAACCACATAGAAGACCATTTAACTCTCTAAAGGAGAAATTGCAGTGACAAACGGCGAGTTGAGGACTATTGCACTACTAACCAGTTCACATTTTTTCAACACATCATCATTTTATTACAGTGAAAACACATTCCATAGACAAAACTTTACTGTTGAAATGAAAAGAGTTCCATTTCTTTCCCTAGACAACAAGCGCATGAATTGGCTTCTTTCTTCACCAGCAATAGTTCTACCCCTTCCCTACGATATGCTCCTGCCCGGAAAGAGTTTATGAAGAAGAATGAACAGTCAGAGCGAAGCAAGTGGATATCCATTCACAAAAGTGTAATCGTCCTCCCCATATAAGATTAGATATTTCCTTATGTTAGCAACAGCCACTAAGCTCTTTTCGAAAATCAAAACAGGAGAGGTCTGACAGTTTTATGTCACGATGTGCCCCAGTGAAGTGAAATTATTGGAATATGAGAAATTAGAGACATAATGCTGCCATTTACGTTAATTTGTCCGTTTCGTCTCTTTGTTATGGTTATATGAGAATACATTTAACTCATTGGTTAAAGATCTACAATGCGCATATGATACCTACTTCAATTTCACATGGCTCCAATCTGGTAATCCGTCTTGCGAATAATCGATATTTTGGGTGAAACTGATCTATGCAAAGCTCTTCCCGATCGACAAGCTACAAGGACTAGATGTGGTGATGGATTGTGAAGGTTTCTAGCATGGCTAAGTTGGATTTCATGGCAAATCATAATAGAACAATATTTGACGCATTGGTAAAGAGAAAGCAGAGTTTCATTCAAAACTATATATAAGGAATTGAGTGGTGAACAAAAACATGGCCTCAAGCGGGAATCGAACTCGCGTTATATCCATCCGAGGACGGGGGTTACTACAATTAAACCACCGAGGCACATTTGCATCCACCACTCATTCTTCAACACCTCTATGTTAGCTATCAGCCACCTACCTATAACAGGTTTGGTGGGTATGCGATTTCGCTTTATAAACCCAGTTGAGCTGACAGCCATTGTGATGACTACTGCGCGAAATTTCTTATATTTTTACTGCATTTTCGCAGTGTTATGATGTTTCGTATATGGGTTCGATCCTCGTGTTATACATTGATCAAATATGGAAGACAATAACAGAAACAATTTCAACTACACCTTGCTTTTTAATCGAATTTTTGGAAAAAGCAAAGAAATTTGCCTCCGGATATTCATTATGGGAAAACTGCAGAAAAAGTGAGTGGAATAGATCTTTTTTTTTCTTCAAACAAAATGATTCACAATGAATGAGCAAAATTTTGGACGAGTTTCAATCTGAGGCATAAAAAAAAACAAACTCGATCGTATCATTATGCATAGCTCAAATGCGAGCCAATGCACTCGAGTACTGATGAAAAATAGCAAAAACTAGTAACAGCTTTGTCTTTCATTTACTACCCCATTTTCTTTTCTAGCAGCAATTTATGATATGAAGCATGATCACAAAAAACCGAACCACGATCAAAACCTGGAACTTTCTGTTTTTGTGTCGTGGGCTCGAAATCCATCACTAAGCCCTTCAGTGAGAGCACGTGCTCGCACCACACACAGACGTTTTCGCTCTGTCTTTTTTTCAGCCATGTTTTATAATATTCAGTGGCTAATAATGGCTCCTCTGCTGAGCCTCCGCCACATTTTCTGCTCTACATGTAGAGCTTACCACCTCTATCATGTAAAACTGGATAAATAATAATCAAATCGCTATTACGAATAAGTTTTCACACCCCTGCAGGAACGTTCAGCTTTAGTCTTTTTACTTCATACGAAAATATATAAGTATAAACATTATAATCATATCATAAGCAAATGATAATCAGCATGCATCGAAACAATCGGCTACTGTCCTGCATTGGAAGTGAAGTGATCTCATTTGAGAGGTGCTCCCCATTGACAGATTTGATTCGGCGCGCATAACAAAGCCCCACATCACGAGACTGATCGTCAGCTGACACAATTGTTTTAGGTCAATCCGCCTGCAGGACAGGACAAGGAAATACCGCTCTGGGACTCTGAACAGTTCCCTGAAGAGATGCGCCAGAACGTTTGATTCCATTAAAGCCTCGCAGAGGAGAGTGAGTGCATGTCTAGTCAATAGATCACGGTGGCTTACCGATGTTATGAAGGACATGCTATCATCCTCCCTGTACAAGTGCAGTACACGTTTACCAGTATCGTAGGAATCAAAAGCTTTGTGAACCTGCGTGAGGATCAAGCTAAGGCAGAGTAATATCCACCGACTCTGGTTACAAATCTTGGTGTTCGCGTTATCCAAGGCCAGTGGCTTCTTGATTCTCTCATATTTGTGCCACAACAAGATGTGCTCGAAAACGACTAGGACAAAGAACATGTATTTCTGCTTATTATTGCTTATTTATCTACTTGTTCATTGCCTTATTACTCCATATTCATATATTTTACTTATCGCCTTAATTGAATATTCCCCACAATTTGTCGAACAAACCACGTTGAACTCATGAACTTCTTTTATATATAATCAAAGCATGAGCGAAGAACTCATGCCGGAGAAAAAGTGTAGAAGAACGCTACTAGGAACACTTGCTCGATGCTGCGACCTTTATTAGAGTCCAACTTACCAAATCATATTCGGTGTCACCTTTAATCGAAGTATCAGAGTCCATACTGAGCAGCTGTTTATATAAATAGTCCGCCCTCCCGTCTGAGGTCCTATTTTTGCTCACCCACCAATCCTCTTGAGTGTATTGGAAACATCGTATCACTGCGAAAAATGCAGTCAAAACATTAGAAAATGCCAGTGTTACACATCACAATGGCTGTCAGCTCAAGTGGGTTTATTATGCGATATTGCAGACCCGGTCAAACCTGTAAAAGATTGGTGGCTTATAGCTATCATAGAGATGTTGAAGAATGTGTGGTTGGACAAATGTACATCGTTGGTTTGTGGTAGCACACTTCGCGGTATGATGTGTGAAACGCGGGTTCGACTCCCGTCTGAAGTCGTATTTTTGCTCACCAGTCAAAGTTGTAGTCGTATTCTTACACGGATCACTCGTATTCTTACAAGAATCGGTCGTATTCTCGCACGAACCAAAGTATTCGAGTTCATGAAGCTTTAACAGTTACGATGTTCCAAAATAATACGTTAAACACTAAAGTAAATCTTGAGACAGATTTCGTCGTGTAGCAAACTTCCTCTTCTATGAATTCTAAGGCTCAGCTATCCTTATCTAAGACAGTGGTCGCGAAATGATCGTCGCATTACTAACTTGTCGTGAAAGCGCTAGTGAACTGGCACAAAAACAAGAAAATGAAATGACCTTAGATTCAGTGACCGTTAGTCAATTTGAATCTTTCTAAGGAAAAAAAGCACAAAATGAAACACAAAAAGTGCACGAGCTCATTGAAGACATTGCTACGCTATATTGCCAGCTAAAAAGGGTTTTTTTCGTATATAAGAGGACAAATGAATGTCCCATCTCATTCGCTGGATAGAAATTCTCATAGGAGGTTTGTAATCATTCGAAAGCTTAGATTTCTGGCTAAAGCCTACATAGCTGATTTTCGAAATACCCTTTTATAACGCTGTAACATTAAAAATGATATTATGTTTCACACGACTACGCGTTTTTTCTTCTTATCTCGTTTATATTTGGTGGACAAAACTCCTTCCTTAGTGTGCTCGTACTCGTTCAATGGCACATATGTCAAAGAACTCAAAATATGCATGCATTTGAAGAAGCTCTTTTGATAGCGCTCTAGAAGATGGAAAAATTTTGTACGCTATACCTCGCCGGATAAGCTCTTTCCTTGAGTGATAAACATTCATTGGACACCGTAATGTTTGCTGATTCCAGCGCTGTGTTTATTTTTAAAAAGATCTCTTCTCTGCAGTGCAGCAGGTAGACTTGTCACTCGCCAAAGCCCGAATCGACCGATGGTCTTGTGAAAACAGCAACATCCGCCCTCGCTCCGCCCTCACCACCCCATGGAGCAGCAAAAAACACCCTTTCCTGTAAGTTTACCATTCCTATTTTCCGTATTGCACTGTAGAAAAACGACCTTTCCAGAAAATAAGCACAGCGTTGGAATCAGCAAACATCACGCTATCGAATGATTACTAATAATCTAAAAAAGAGCTCTGTGCGGCGATAAATATGCGCGTCTGTGGCATAGTTTTATTTCGAGATTTTACATCGCTATGAGAGGGTCTTTCTGGAAAACCGGCCACTTATGGCTTCTACCGCTTTGTATGGAAAGTCATTGTTAGGTGAGGTCATATATTAGAGGTAGTCTACTACATAAGATTTGACTCAACAGGGCAATGGCCACCATCATCATGATCAATGGCTGTTTGAATTCGAATCGGATAATTGCTACATCAAAAAAGATTAAGGAACCTATAGCCTGCTCCAAAAATAATTTTATAACAGTTTTGAGCTCTCTTTGATGTGAATGGAGACATATTTGGTCTCTACAATAACTTCGCGGTGGCGTGCCGATGTATCAACTCACTGCTGCCTATCCTTCCAAACAAGTCTGGTTACAATTCTCCGACATCGAAGGGATAGAAGGCTTGTGAGCATTGAACGAGGGATCGCACAATCAACCAATCGCTGTTCGACCACGTGTGAGTCGCGAGCACCTCTAACCGTTGCTCCACTCGCGTTCATCTTATGCCAGATACACACTGAAAGGTCCATTTAATTGCAGTAATTATCCGTCGTATTATAACTGCAATCAACAAAGTCCTCTACGTATGATCAACAAACATCTGCTTCTGTTCTGGTTCAGAAAAAAAGGCAAGACGGAAGATATTTTCAAATGTCTTCTTCTCTGAGGAATATTTATCATATTTTTTTCGTATAATACATGTGGAATCCTTAAATAACATATCGGAGATCCCGGCGAAGCGTTTCTAGACTAGAAGTGTGCTTAAATGATCGTCAAGTCGTGATAAAACATAACTTCTCACAACTTTTTTCTGATAAAATAATCCTCATACATACTAGCAGTCGAACACACGCATGCAAAAGAGGCTGAAGAATATAGAAGTTGAGATATAAAACGAGCGGGCATAAATTTGTGAATCGCATCGTCACCGACTCTAAAGGAAGTTTACAACAAATAAGGCGCTGTCGAAAATGTCACTAGCAAAATCGTTGTTTCTCTATATTTGTTTTTGCGTTATGGGCAACAGTGTCATGTAAGCAGCAATTTTACGTTCAATGCTCTTAATTTGGTCAGCAAGCTTACTCCGTCGATAAAAGTGATAATGTCTTTCAGATCCAAATACCTATAGTGTCCATTATATCATAAACATACGAATATTTACTTCTGTACGTCTGATGGGCCAGGTGTGCATATGGCACAGTGGTTAAGGTACCCTACAGCAACACACATTAATGATCGATCTCGCGCCCAAGGCTGTCATGACTTCCATCTCTTTGCTGTCACCAAAGTGATACCAGACTTGTTTGGGAGGATACCAGCACTGACTGCATTCATCCGTATACCACTGCGAGTCATTGTAACGGCCTCGTTTACATCATTTAACCACTTCTGACTATTCCTGATAGAGTCAAACGCATAGCTCATCTTTATGAAACGGATCAGTGCTGACAGTTTTTTCTATATGTGTTGCCAGTAAATCACATAGTAATATTCGGTCTGGGCTAGTGTCACTTCGACACAAAACGAATGCCTGTTCCTCCTGACACTTCACAGGCTGAAAAAGCTCACATTCTAGAACAGTGTCTGGTGAGTTCAGTAATATTCGGATGGAAAAAGCACTACAAATATGAAGTGTTCCATTTTTGTTTTAGCGAAGAAGCGACAACTGGTATTGACTTCAAATTCAGAGTACAGAACAAGCGTTGACACGCTC